CCCAGCTCTAACATCCCATGTTCCAAGGCCCCCCCAGCTCTAACATCCCATGTTCCAAGGCCCCCCCAGTGCTAACACTCTATGCACGTTCTAAGCTCTTTCCAGAGGCTGAGGAGTGCTGCCAGTCGCTTTAGCCCTGGGTCCAGCCTGACCCCCCACCCTGATCCCAGGGGGCTCTCACCATAGGGTGCGCAGCCTACAGCTGGGCTGGCTCAGCCTCTCACACAGCAGCTGCACCCCGAGGTCCCCCAGAGCGTTGTTGGTGAGGTAGAGCTCCCTCAGGGTCTGGTTGGCCCCCAGGGCAGAGGCGAGGTCCCTGCAGGCAGCCCCGGAGAGGCAGCAGCTGTCCAGCCTGGGCAAAGGGCAGAGGGAGAAGAAGCAGAGGGAACCTTACTGCTCAGTGACAGTGGCTTCTACGCTCAGGAAAGAGAAGGTGTGACCCGGAGGATGGAGCTTTCCTAAGCTGGTGGAGCCAGGAAGCCTGGCTGTGGGCTCCCAGCCTGGTGCCAGCTCTGGTGCCCTCTCCCCAGCCTCCCTTGGCCTCTCTGTGGCCTTCCACACATGGGTCAGAAGCAGGCCTTGACCTCAGCTCTTTCTGGTTCCTAGGCCAGGCCTCTGCCTACATAAAATCCTGTGCTTTGTTGTTCTCTGCCAGTGTCCCATCCCCTCCTCCCCCTACTCAACTGTGGGCTCTCTGAGGGCTAAGACTGGCCTTAGCCAAACCCTGTGCCTCCAGAAGTCTTCTGCACAGTGCTCAGCAAACAGTAGACTCTAATCAAGTCGAGACAGCAAGCATTTATGAAGCACCTACTGTGTGCCAGGCATCGCCCCAAGTTCAGGGGAGACAAAGAAAGGCAAAAAGCAGGCCCTGTCCTTACGGAGCTCCCAATCCAAGGCGGGAGACCAAAGGCCAAGAACTCTGTTCATACAGGACATGTGGGGTGGGGGAGGGTCCTTTGAGAGGAACCAGGCAAAGCCTCCTGGAGAAGCTGGGGTTTGCAAACAGATTAATAGGTGAGGTGTCAGAGCATGGGGGAAGGGAAGGCTCTTAAGGGCCCAGGGAGGAGAGATGGAGGGTGGGGCTCAAGGGACATCAGGAGGCCAGAGCTGCTGGAAGTGAAGAGTTTATGGGGGAGAGGAAAGTAGAGGAAGGCTGGGGAGGCAGGAGAGGGCCCGCACATGAGAAAGGACTCTAAAAGCCAAACAGGGGCTTTGATTTGGTCCTGGAGGTTACAAAAGCCAGTGGAGCTCCTGCACAAAGGGGGTGGGGGGACTTAGCTGGGCTTGGCGGCTGAACAGAGAACCGACAGGAGGGGGAAGGAGCCTGAGGCCATCAGATTGCTTAGAAGGCTCTGTAATGGTCTCAGTGAGCCCCCAAATGGTCTGCATCAGGCTGTTGAGACACATGCCAGGGGTGCGGGGAAGGTGGAAACGACAAGGTTTAGCAAGGGCTCGGATAAGTCAGGTGAGAGAGAGGAAGGGCTGAACCTGGAGAATCAGAAGACGGGGGTGGCCCAGACAGTGACAGAGAAGTTAGGGCCCGGGCAGAGTTTGGGGGTGAAGACGCTGAGCTCCGTTTTGGACATAGTGACTACGATATGCCCATAGGACATCCAAGCGGAGGTGTCTATAGGGCGCTTTGCAGCTCAGCAACTACTCGATGATGTTTGAACCACAGGCGCTGGTGAGATCACCAAGTGAGACTGTATAAAGGAAGATGAGAAGAGGGCCCAGAACAGTCCTGGGGACCCCCGCGGTGACTCAGGGCTTCTCGATGTTGCTCTTGTCTTAAACTCTGACCGATGGAAGTGGAGGGTGAAGATGGCGGGGAAAGAGCCAGAATGCCTCCCGGGCATCTCTCTGGCCTTCTGGCCCAGCCCCACCACCCAGTCCCTGTAGAACCTTGGCTCCATCTCTCCTCTGGTTCACAGTAAAATAAGGGGGGCTCAGCAATCTAAAAGTAATTCCATCCCCATCCCGTTGACTGCCAGGATTCTGGGTTGGCGCATCCCTGAATAGGCCACCAGGTGGCAGCAACATGCCGGAGACGTTGCTTATTGAAGGTAGCTCACAGAAGGGGCCGCTAGGTGACTCCATAGTGCAAAGAGTGCCTGGCCAGAATTCAGGAAAACATCTTCCTCAATTCCCATCTGGCCTCAGACACTTCCTAGCTGTGTGACCCTGGACAAGTCACTTCACCCTGTTTGCCTCAGTTTCCTCATTCTGTAAAATCAGCCGGAGAAGGAAATGCCAAACCACTCCAGTATCTTTGCCAAGAAAACTCCAAACAGGGTTGTGGAGAGTCAGACACGAATGGACAACAACAAAGAGACAGAAGAGTGGAAAAGGGCTAGGAGAGTGACCTTGGAGTCTGGTTGGGAGAATTGAATGAAGATTGAAACGATCACAAGTCACAGAACAGCAGGATCATAGAGCTGGAAAGGCCCTCAGAGTTCCCCTACGCTGACTGAGCATTTTGTCTGAGAAGGATCTGGGGGTTGCAGTGGTCCACAAGCTCAGCATGAGCTAATAGTGAGATATGGCAGCTCCCCAAAAGTGAAGCAGTCTAGCTTCTAGGAATGAGGAGGTGAGAGCCCCACTTTTGGGCACCACATTTTTTTTTAAAAATAATTGTTATTATACTTTTTTTTTCAGGCAGTTGGGGTTAAGTGACTTGCCCAGGGTCACACAGCTAACGAGTGTCAAGTGTTTGGTCTGAGGCCGGATTTGAACTCAGGTCCTCCTGACTTCAGGGCCAGTACTCTATCTGCTGCGCCACCTGGCTGCCCCCTGGGCACCACATTTTAGCAAGGCTATTGATAAGCATCCTGTGAAGACTGACCAAGATGGTGAAGGATGCCAAGCTCTTGCCAACTGAAGTTCCACGGAAGGCACTGGGGATATTTAGCCAGAAGGTGCGATGCTCTCAGTCCGGGGGAATTGCGGGTCTCCAGCACCGCTCTCAGAAGCGTGCCTGGGGGAAGGACGACATCCTTCTCCCTGGCTTGAGCGGGCAGAGCAAGGACCGTTGGGTCGTGAAGTGGGAAGCTGCAGACGAACACCTGGGCTTAGTTGTTGGGGACAGCTTCCCGATAAGCCCAGCTGTTAAAGCGGGCTGGGCTGGAAGGGGTGGGGGAAACCGGGTGCTCTCTCTCACCGGACTTTGTCAATTCAGCTGAACAAGCATTGATTAATTTTGTGTAAAGGACCTTGGGGAGCCCCTTTGGGGCAGCTTGAGAGGCCCCCCAGGGGCTCCTCCCCTCAGGGAGCTCACGCTCCCCGGAGACGTCCCCGAGCCCAGCTGGCCAGCGGATGGGAGGGGATTGGTTAGAGGGGGTCCTTGTTCCAATATGGCTGAGGTTGCTTCTAGCTGGAAGGTCCTAGGATTTTGTGAGAGATGGCCCGCCAAGGTTGAGGGAGGAGTGAGCTAAGCCTTGGCACCTGATCCCATAGGCACGGCTCTCTCCATCACACCAGACAACTTCTGGCCCCTGACTGCCTCCAAAGTCACAGGCCATCAGTTCAAATTCTACCTCTGATGCTTACTACCTATTGTGACCTTGGGGACATCCCCTAACCTCCCTGTGCCTCAGTTTCCTTCTCTATAAATGGGGGGGGGGGTTGACCTCAATGGTCTCTGAGGTCCCTTCCAGCTCCTTCCATTCTAAAGAGAGCTGTCTCTGGAAAGGGACACCACAGATGGCCAGAACGGGGGGGATGATGGAGGAGGCAAAGAGTCCCAAGACAGAGAGACGTACGGCTACCTCCAGGGTCTGCTAGCCCAAGGTCTTTTTTTTATAGAGACCCTGAGACCCCAAAGGAATATTAGGATCTAATGGACAGGGCACAGACTCAGGGTCTCGAGAGTCACAGGCTCTGGCTTCAGCTGTGTTACTCACTCACTCTGCAACCTTGGTTATCACTTCGTGTCTCTGAGCCTCAGTTTCCTCTTCCATGAAATGAGCGTTGGAGTGGTTGATTCAAGGCTCCTTCTAAGCTGAAGGGACCTTAGAACTAGAACGTCAGCCAAGAGGAGCCTTAGAACATGAAAAGTAGGAGTTGGGATTGGGAGGGTATATCTTAGATCACAGTATTTTTGAGCTGGGAAAACACAGAATACAAGACATAGAATGTCAGAGGTGGGAGGGGCTTTGGAGCTCCTGGAGTCCAACGTCTTCATTTCACAGATGAGGAAACTACTGCCATGAACTCCCCCAACTTCACTCCAAATCCGGGCAACTCACCACAGCTTGTGAAGCTTACAGTTGGAGTGCTGCAGTCCCTCACAGAGCAGGTGCACTCCCTTGTCTTCCAAGTCATTGAAACTCACATCCAGTGCCTTGAGGTGAACGCTGGACTGAAGGGTGGTGGACAAAGCCTCACAGGAGACAAAGGTGAGTCGGCAGATGCCCAACCTGGAAGACACAGACACTCGGGAAGGGCAGGGGACTATGAGTTGCATCAATCGTCTTACTCTATGGCTCAAATAGAAAATGTCTTCCCTCTCTTACCATTCCTTCTCTCTCTGGGGAGCCCGTCATCTATCTCCCACTCCCTCATTGTGTTTGCCCTGTCTCCCTTCCCTTCCTCCTGTCTCTCTTCCCTTCTTCCTGTCTCCCTTCTCTGTCTCCTATCTGTCTTCCATTCGCTCTGTCTTTTCTTCTCCAGGGGCTGCAATCATCATCTATATGCCAGACTCCTACAACTGCATCTTCATCTTCAAACTCTCCCCTGACCTGGACAACCCTGTCTCCAATTAACTCCTGGCACCTCCTCCAACTGTCCTGTCAGCCTCTCCCACTCAACATGTTCTGAATTGAACTCATCATGTTCCACTCAAACCTTCTCCCTTCCTGGAATACGGTATTCCGTAAGGCAAAGGAACTTGGATTACAACCAAGGATCAACTACCCAGCAAAAATGAGCATAAGCCTTCAGGGGAGGAGATGGACATCCAGTGAAACAGGGGACCCTCAGACTTTCCTGATGAAAAGACCAGAGCTCAACAGAAAATTCGATCTTCAAATACAAGACTCAAGAGAGACATGAAAAGAAATCCCATTTGCTTATTCAAACTTGTCAGAAGAAGGCTACTTCCGTTTTTGTTGTATTCTACATTTCTGAATCACCTGAAGACTAAACTAGAAATGAAATCTGCTTATGAAAAAAGTAGGGAGATATTCCAGATACTTCACAGATGTCATTAAAATGTAACAACATCCTGGTAAATTGGAGACTCAGGTTGAAACCAATGAAAAGAAATTTAGTGGAGGCATCTAGCTAGGTGTCACTAGGCCTGAATTCAGGAAAACCCAAGTTTAAAGCCTATCTCAGATGTTTACTAGATGTGTGACCCTGGGCAAGTCACTTCAGTTTCCTCAACTATAAAACGGGGAAATAATAGTGCCTGGCATGCAGTGCGGGTTCAACTGTTTTTGAAAATTCAATTTTATTTTTGTCTCCTATTTCTCTCCCTCCCATCTCCTCTTTCCTCCTTCATTGAAAAAGCAAGAAAAATGAGACCCAGTACAAACTGTAGAGTTGAGAAAAATCAATTCCCAAGTTATCCATGTCAAAAAAAAAATGCCTCAAAATTCTGCATCTTGTCTTAACTCCATCACCTCCTATCAGGAGGTGGGTAACATGTTTCATCATTAATCCTCTGTACTTGGTCCTTGTATTGATCACAGTTGTAGGAGTTTAACTGTTGATTAAATGGTTGATTCCATTTATCGATCGATAGATTCTATCCACTTGTGATCATCTGTGTGGACAAAAATGTTACCAACAGAAAGAATCCAGACTTCTCTGCTAAGGCTTCTGAAGGCTGGGGCTTAAAGGCAGTAAGAGTACAGATGGCGTCAGTCACCAAGTATATATTGATAAGGCTGAGATTGGCCTTATCTAAACTCTGTGCCTCCAGCAGTCCACAGCATAGTACTCAGCAAGTAGTAAACTCCAATTAAGTCAAGACAACAAGCATTCATTAAGCACCTACTACGTGCCAGGCACTGTGCTAAGTGCTGGGGATACAAAGAAGTGGAAGAAAAGGAGAATCCTTACTCTCAAGAAGTTCCCGGTCTGATGGGAGAGACAATATGCAAACCAATATTTATAACCAATAACAAACAAGCTGGATACAGTCAAGGTAAACTAGAGTTAAACCTCCTGGGGAAGGCACTTATATTAAGGAGGAAAGGCTTCTTGCAGAAGGTAGGATTTCAGCCAGAGACATAAAGGAAGCCAGAGAGGCCAGACAGCAGAGCTGAAATGAGAGAGAGCTCCAGACAATTGGACTAGCCAATGAAAATGCCTCCAGGGAGGAGATGGAGCGTCTTGTGTGAAAAAGAGCAAGTCCCCGGCTGCCTCTTCTGCTTTGTATTCCTGTCCCTGGACACAGGTGACTGAACTGGGATCCTGAGACAGATGTTCCAAGGCTTGACAGGAATTTCGTGAGTCTCAGAGTTCCTGGATCTGGGGGCTTATTTCCCAGCAGGAGATGATTCCTACAGCCATTCTCAGGGGAGAAGATGACCACCGACATGGCAGGATGAGCCATGCCCCAGATGGCCGAGAGATGTTGACCTGGAGCACGCTGCTCAAACACAGCAGAACTGACGCGAAGAAAATTTGTGATCTCACTCTGTTTGTTACGTTTCAATTGCGGGGGAAAAAAATTTGACTCGGTAGAGTAACATACAGCCTTAGCGGCTTCCCTCCAACAAGGTATCTTTCACGCATATGTTAAGATCAGTCAATACTTAAGCGTTTATTAAGTGCCCAGCATTTTCTAGGCAAAGATTCCTCGATTTATGAGACGACAGAGAAAAACTTGTTCAATAAGCAGCTAATGCTAAAGGTGTTGGCCAGTGTTGTGGAAGAGATTCAGCGAGGAGCCCCAAAGAGGAAGGATTCCAAGGGCTTGGGACGCTCATGTCTACGGGGGCGTAGAGGTGATCGCCCAAGTCCTAGAACACTGTAGAGATTCCGGATGAGAATTACAATTACTCAGAAAGTTCCACCGTCCCAGCCAAGCACACAAAAGGAGCCAAGCGGAGGCAAGATGCCCATTTTCCAGGCCATAAGGTGGGTCTGTCAGGCCCTAGATCTTGGACATACACTTCCAACGCCCAGTGAGCTGGGCCCAGCGCTGGATAAGAGAGGGCTCACGAGGTCCTAGACTTGGAACTCAAAGGGACCGTAAGAACCACCTCATTCCACCCCATCCTTTTGTAGAGGAGGAGACTAAGGCACAGAGAGGTCAGGCAACTGGGAGGAAAGAGGCGGAGGCCAAGGTCAAACCAAGGTCATTAGACACCAAATCGTGGGCTCTTCCCACTGCACCGTTATTCTTCCTTTGGCCTGTGGGAACTCTCACATGGCTTTCAATACTCCCAAACTCCCCGAAACAAAAACCATCTCGTTAACATTATGGAACACCACAGGCTCTGAGGAATCACATTTACCGACATGGTAAAAAAGGGACGTATGGTGGATGTAGCTGGGTTTTGACACATCATTTTGCGGCAGTGTGGTTCGGTGGATACCTTATTATATTTGGAGTCAGGAAAACTTGAGTGTATTGGGCTCTGAGTTGAGAGGGTTTGCCTGGGGACCCCTTGGCAGGGTAGGTCCCAGAAATCCTGCTGTGCCAATTTGTTCTTGAGCCAAGCATGGTCTGAACTCTGCCCCTTTTGGGAAGACAGTGCCCAGGTGGGCCAACCCCAAAGCAGAGCAGGGTTGTAGATGCCAGACCCTTCATGGCACAGTAGAATGGAGAGGCACTGGGCTTGGATTTAGAGTTCAATGATTGGTTCTAATGCCAAGTTTCCCTGTGGTAGGAAACACTCTAGCCTGGAGGGAGGTGGTGGGAGGGTTGGCCCCTTTTCTACTCTGAAAGTCTGACACAAAGCGGCGGAGGGGACTTCTCCAGAATGAGATGGCAGATACTCACCGAAGCGTCTGCAGCTGGCTCTTGGAATGGCAGAGGCCCTCGCAGAGTGATTTCACCCCCAGGTCTCCCAGGTCGTTTAAACTGAGGTCCAGTTCAGTCAGGTTCTGGTTGGTGCTGAGGACTGAGGACAGATTCTGACAGGCAGAGGGCGTCAGGTGGCAGATCTTTAACCTAGAACGAGCCCTGAAGGTTTGGCCGCCAGGTTCCTTGCATGGTCCTTCCCTTCTCCCTCCATCCTTCTGTGGTGGTCCTATTCACTCCCACAGCCATCTATGCAGACGGCTCCCATCTCCACATCTCCAGCTGCCTCCAGGACATCCCTACCCGGATGGGCCACCAGTACCTAAATGCAGTACTACCCCCAACCATCTTCTCACCCTCTGTCCTTGCATCCTTCAGATGCTGGGAACTGGCTATCCATCCTCCTTGGACCTAACCCTCTTAGTCCTGGAACTGTCACCAGGAAGGCAGAGCCCTGGCTCTGTGGTCACGTCACCTCCAGCTCTCCCCCTCCTCCTCTCCATTCCTTACTCTCTCCCAGAATCACCTGCTCGTGTCCCTCCTCTGGGCAAAAATCTTCACTACTTTCTAATTTTGTCTTGAGTAAGGTTCAAACTCTTTTTGTTTGACATTCGAGGCCCTCTCCCAGTGGGTACACCTTTCATTTCTTACTGTTCCTTCCATACATCTTACCTTCCAGCTACCTTACAATGCCCCCTGCTTTCTGCTGCCTCCAGGGTTTGGCTCAAGCTCTCCTGGGGGTCCAAAATGTCTTTTCACCCCATCTTCTCCTTGGAGGCCCTAGCCCTCTGCAGCATGGCCAGGTTTGGAGGGTTCAGATGATCTATTTAGATCTGGAAAGAACCTTGGAGATCATCTATTCTGGCCTTATCTTACAGATAAAGAAGCTGAGGGTCAGAATTCCAGAGCCACACAGGTAATGAACTGCAGGGCCAGCCTTTGAACCCATTTCTTCTGACTCCAAATCCAGGGCCTTTGATACAGAATTATGGCACTTCTCCACCTCCAAGTCCCTTCCTCTCTCTGGGTCTCACTTTCCTCATCTGCAAAATGAGCAGACTCAGTGACCCCTAGAACTGAGTCTGGAAGCCTACAACCTGTGAACAAATCAGGAAAATTGAGACAGTAGAAGGCTCTGATGCAGGGCCAGTTGGGGAAGGCTTCCTGGAAGAGACAGCACCTGAGCTGAGTTTCAAAGTCAAACAAGGATCTGGAAAGCCAGAGAGAAGGAAGCAATGCCTTCTGAGCATGTATGCAAATACGGAGCAGCAGATGGAGTGGAAGGGAAAGGGCTTGGTACCAGGGAAAGAGTACTGGATTTGGGGGTGGAGGACCTAGGTCCGAATCCCAGATCTACTGTTCCCACCTTGGACTGGTTATTGCCTTTCCCTGGGGCTTCAGAAAATGCCAGAGTTGGGCCAGATGACCACTAAGGTCCCTGCCAGCTCCCAATCTGTGGTCTGTGACTGGTCGCAGACTGGCATTGAGGAGACCAGTTGGGCAAGCGTGGGGAATTACTGGAAAAGGGGGAGTCTGGATGCCAGAGTCCTTTGGTGCCAGGAGGAGGAGCTCCCATTGTATCCCAGATGCAGTAGGGGGCTGCTCAAGATTTTAGAGTAGGGGAGTGATGCAGGCCCCTCTGTGCCCAAGGGAGATTATTTTAGTAGCAGGGTAGAGGCTGGGTAGGAGAGGGGAGGGTCTGGGAGTGAGAACCCATGGGGGGTATTACAGTAGATCAGAATATACAGTCTGTAAAGATAACTTGGGAGTCTATCATTTTAGAATAGAAACACGAGTTTACATCCTCTCGGTCAGAGGAAGCATGTATTTATAGAGGTAGATAGAAAATAAACAGGGGGTAATTTGGAGGGGGGGAAAGGCACCCACATCTAGCAAAGCTTGTGTAGAAAGGAAGTGGTGCTCGGGCTGAATTCACAAGAACATTTGAGATTCTAAAGAGTGGAAGTGAGGAAGGAGGACATTCTAGGCATAGATACAGCCAGTGCAAAAGCCTGGGGATGGGAGACAGAGAGCTCTGTTTGAAGAACAGGAAGATGGCCAATTTACCTGGCCCATAGAGTTTCTGATTGGGAGTAGTGTTCAAAAGAGAGGAAAGGTAGGTTGGGCCAGGCTGGGATTGCCAAATGGAAGTGTGTGGGTTTGATCCAAGCAGTAATATGGAGCCAGTGGAGTTGGCTGAGAGAGGTGTAACATGGTCAGAAGTGCACTGAAGGAGAAATTGCTTTGGCGGCTTGTCAGGTGTGTTCAAGGGGGGATGATTTTTTTAGGTATGATCTTGACAGGATGCTCTCTGAGTTCCTTTTGCCTCTCCAATATGGTAACTCTGTGACTTACCTCAGAGCTCAGCAAGACCCAGGCCCTGAGGTGGTGAGGTTGAGGCTGAGAGGCGGGAGGCAAAGGGGGACATTCTAGGAAGAGAGAAGGTTGCAGAACAGGGGCAAGGATTAGGGAGGGGAAGCCTGAGGGGAGCAGGTAGAAAAAGTGACACCCGGTGAGGTTCATTGAGCTGCCAAAGGCCAGTCCAGGAACTATTGACCAAGATGGCACAATCTTCCTAGAAAAGAAACCCATAGAAGGGCAGCTAGGTGGCACAGTGGATAGAGCACTGGCCCTGGAGTCAGGAGGACCTGAGTTCAAATCCGGTCTCAGATACTTGACACTTACTAGCTGTGTGACCCTGGGCAAGTGACTTAACCCCATTGCCTAGAAAAGGAAAGAAACCCATAGCTGTCACAGAAAGCCAATTAAGGCTGAGAGGCCCAAGCATCCTCCAGAATCACACAGTGTCGGAATGTCAGAGCCAGAGCAGCCCTTACTGGTCACCAGGCTCTGTTGCCTTCCACTACAGATGAAGCTGAGACCCAGAGAAGCAGCAGGATCGCCCCCATCAGGGGCAGAGCAGGGGCCCTGAACTGCCAGGGCTCTGGACTCCAAAGCTGGCACATTTCCATTTCACCACACCCTCTTCTAAGAAGGCTTACTTCTGTAGCATTTCAAGGGATACAGAACCCTTTCCTCCCAGCACCTCTTTGCAGGAGGCCATGCAGTCTCTCCATTGTAGAGACAAGGAGACTGAGGCTCAGACAGATGGAGTATCTTATCTCAGTTCTTCACAGCCAGTGAGTGTCTGACAGTTAATGTCGATAGAGTGCTTTAAGGTTCGCACAATTACCTATATTATCTCAGCTGATCCTCACGACAACCTGGGAGGCAGGTGTTATTATAATCTCTGTTTTACAGATGAGGACATCAACGTGTAGAGAGGTTAAGTGATTTGCCCAGGGACACACAGCTAGTAAGTTCCTGCGGTAGGATTGGAACTCAGATCTTCCTGACTCCAAGCCCCAGCTTCAAACCCAGCATTAAGCTGCCTAGGTCAGTAAATGCTTGTCTCTTGGCTATCTGCCACTCCCGGCACCACCACTGGGGACATTCCTTCCTGGATGGAAGCCAGGACTCACCACAGTGTCTGCAGCTTACAGGCAGGATGGCTCAGCCCAGGACACAGGTGTTGCAGCCCCAAATCCCCAAGGGCGTTGCCTGTCAGATCCAGCTCCGTCAAGTGTTGGCTGGTGCTCAGCACTTTGGAGAGCTCCTGACATGCTGCCCCATCCAACTGACACCGCCTCAACCTGGCCAGGAGACAGAGGTATTGAGAGCCAGGAAGCGGAAGAGAAAGGGGCCCCCGCTGCCACCCCCCCCACTCCGTGCCCCTCAGGGAGTGACTTACTGCAGCATCTGGAGGTGACAGGTGGGCTGCTGGAGGGCCTCACACAGTAGCATCACGCCTGTGGCACCCAGCGTGTTCCTGCTCAGGTCCAGCCGGGTTAAATTCCGATTGGTCCTGAGAGCCAAAGCGATGTCTTGGCAGGCAGCACTGGAGATTCGACATTGCTTCAACCTGGAGGAGGAAGGGGGACGGGGAGAGGGAGGGAGTGCAGAAGAAACTACTTCAGCACCCTTCACGGGCTCCCGCTCTCAGAGAGTCAGAAACTCTCAGAGGGAGAAAGTACCTCTGAGGCCATTTACTCTCCCCTCTCCTTCCTTGAAGGAGTCCCTTAAACAACAAAGGATCTCAGAGATGGGATCCCCTCCAACTTCCCACCCAGCGTAGGCATCTGTGCTAGAGTAGGTAGCTCAGAAGTAGCAGGACCATAAAGGCAAAGCAGGCATCTGGAGCTGGCACTACCCATGACTGGAGCCCTGGGCATACTTGCCTTAACCTCCACAAGCATTTATTAATCACCTACTGTGTTCAGGTCACTCAGGATTCAGTTAACTACAGGGCTCCAATGGGTGCATGGATAAGTAAGAGACCAGCCCTGTAGAGTCATTGACTTAGGGAACTCCCAGATGAAGAGACTTCTCTGGTAAAGCATGTCAACGCCTTCCCTGTCACTGAAAGTCTTCAAATCTTGCAGATTTTCCCAGAGCATGGAGAGGCTAAGTGGCTTGACCAGGAGGATGCAGCCAATATAATAGCTAGGATTATAGCTTTACATACACTTTACATACACGATTTTATTTGATCATCACAACAACCCTGGGAAGTAGGTGCTATTATTATCACTTCTTTAAAGTTGAGGAAACTGAGGCAGACAGACATTGAAGTGGCTTGGCCAGAGTCACACTGCTAAGGCAGGATTTGAACTCAGATCTCCCCAACTGAAGTTCAACATTAACCACTTCACTACCTTGTTACCTCTGCTGGCAGTATGTGTGACAGGTGGAGTTGAAACTCATCTGACTCTTCCTGGATCCAAGGCCAGGTCTCTCTCCACTACATAGTACGCTGTACCGTGACCCTAACATAGTGGTGTCATTTTGGTCCTCTTCCAGCACAGAGGATGACAGCCAACTGCCTCGATATGAGTGAAATAAGTAAATACAAGGTAATCTGAGGGCAGAGAGATCAGGAATGGACAAAGGCTTCACACAGGAGAAATACAAGAATTCTGAGAGGCAGGGATGAAGTGTGAGTGCATTCCAGAATGGGGAAAGGCACAAAGATCAAAGCTGAAAGTGGAGTCCAGGGAATATTTCATAGGCCAGATAGGCTGGATGAGTGACTAATGAGAAATAAATTGGTTAAAAAAGGATGGGTAAGGTCCTAAGTGTCTGACTTTATTCCTTTGAATTTACATTTTATTCAGTGGCCACTGAAGGATTCGGAGCAGGCAAGTGACATGCTCAGATCTGTGCCTTAGAAGAATTATTTTGGATGCCATGTGGAGGATAGATGGGAGAAGAGAGAGGCTGGAAGTAAGGAGATCAGCTAGAAACCTTAAGTAGTAGTCCAGGGGACATGAGGGCCTGAAGTAGGGTAGTCTGAGAGTGGAGAGAAGGGGGGAGATAGCTGGCCTCACATTGAAGCCCCCTTCAGATGTCAGTAACTCAAATTAGACCCATTTTCCAGGAGCAGAAACTGAGAACTACAGAGGGGAAAGGGCTTTTTGAAGGTCACTTGGCTTTGTCACAGTGGAAGGTGACTCTCAAAGTCTCCTCACTGCCAAGGTATCACCATTCTTTCCATCATCCCATCCCATTTCTTTTCTGCCACAACTAAGGGTATGTCATTAGACTGGAGTAGGAAGTCAGCTTGGACCCTGGACCCTCTAGGGTTGGTCTATTTGACCCTAGGTAGACCTGATTTATGCCTAACAGAAATGAAATGGGATAATTCCCCTTGAAAGCTCTGAGAGTGATGGGCTCACGGGATGCCATCTTTCTTAAACAACCTCTTTCTCATCCTTCTAGCCAAATTCCTGTGTGTGGTGCTGCTGTTCATCTACTTACTGCTCGCTTACATTTGAAATCTTGGGGTTACCTCTGGCTTTCTCCCTTCTCTTATCTCTCAGATCCATGCAATTGTTTCCACCAGCTACGTTGCATGTATCTCCTTCCCTCTTGTCCCATGGCCACCACCATAGTTCAGTCCCTCTTTACCAAATGCCCTGACAACAGCCTCTCAAAAGGGCTTTCCCCTCACTCTTTCCCAGTCCATTTTTCACACACTGAAAGAGAAGTTGTTTTTATGCATGGATCTGGTTGCGTCTCACCTGCTCAAATACCTTCCACGGCTCCTTGTTGTTTACTGACCAAAGCTCAAACTTCTCTCGTATTAGTCTAACTTCAGTCCCATCTTACATGAGTCCCCTTCCTGCCTATTTAACTCCAGCCAGACCAGATAATGTGCTATTCCCCAGGTACGCCCCCTATTGCTTTGCTTCCATGTGTTTACTCACACTGTTCCCTATTCCTGGAGTCCCCTCCCTTTTCCTCTCTTCAGCTCACGGGGGATCACTACCCACCCTTTAAAGAATAACACAGATACTACTTCCTCCCTCTTCTGGATCCTCTCAGTCAATGACTTTCCCCGCTCAGTCCTCCTATATGGACCTATCAGATGGATTTTGCATGAATTATTAAGGAAGAGAGGTCCCTCTGGGGGTGTCATATCCCCCACTAGCCTGGGGGCTGGGAGGGTGGGGAGCAAGTGGAGCTATCTAGCCTGTTTCTCTCCCTGGACCAAGAAGAGCATGGATCACTCTCCACTGGTGCCGAATAAAAGTTGCTTGAGCTTATTTGGCGCTTAGTTGGAATGGTTAGGAACAGACTCCAAGCTGAAAGGGGCTTCAGAGGCTATTTAGCTCAGTCTTGAAATGAACAGGAATCCCATTTGTAACTTTTGGGACAAAGGGATCCAGCGTCAGCATGTAGACCACCAGGGATGGAGACCTTCCCACCTCCTGAGGCAGTCTATCGTGCTGCTGGACAGCTCTCGCAGTCCCTGAACTTTCTGATTGTTTTGAACCAGAATCTGCCTCCCCTGCTCCTCCTCCTCAGTTTGTCTTCAGGAGTCAAGCAAAACAATTCCAATCCCCTCCCATTCACCCCCCCACGCCCCCGCCCCCTGAACTCCTTCAGACATCCAAAGGCATATCCATGTGCGCTCAAGACCTCTGACGTAGGGTGGTTTTGCCTGACTTTAGGAAGGTTAGGCTGCCTACCAAACTAAAGGCCACAGAGGCATTGGGCTGACCTCATTATTGTATGCCTGTGAAACCTAGGCAGCGTGCCAGCAAATGCCAGGAAACTGGATCGATTCCATTTGAATTGTCTTAGGAAGATTCTGAAGATCACCCGGCAGGATAAGGTACATGACACTGAGGTCCTTTCTCAAGCTGAACTGCCAAACACTCAAACCCTACTGCAGAGAGCGCAACTACAACGGGCTGTTCACATTGTTCAAATGGCAAACGTACATTTGCCTAAAACTATTTTATGGAGAACTCACACAAGGCAAATGCTTACACTGAGGTCAAAAGAAGTGATACAAGGACACTCTCAAAGTCTCTCTGAAGAACTTTGGAATCAATTGGGAGACATGGGGGTTACTGGCCTGTCCAGCACGGTGTGCCTTCCTCAAAGAAGAGCTCTGTGCTCTATGAGCAAAGCAGAATCACAGTAGCAAAAAGGCCATGTAAGATGGGCAAGTCTAGAGATATTTCCACCCCAAATGCTCAAACGGACTATTTGTGCCTGACCTGTGCCCTTCCAGAGATGGAAGGGACCTCAGAGAGCATTCACAAAGGAGGAAGCTAATGGTTAGAAAGGGGAAGTGATCTACCCACCATCACCCGAGAAGAGACTAGAAGCTGGGTCAGGCTTGAGTCCCAGCCCAATGCTTTTGCTCATACGTACACACTCTTGGAGTCTAGACCTCTCCCCTTCACCATGGATACTGGCCAATTCTGAGGACCCTCCGTTTCTCAGCCCTCTCCACCTCTCAGCTGAAGCTGCTCCAGATAGCCATCCTAAGCAAAGGAACCTGTCTGTCCTTACCGAAGGTTCTGGAGGTGACAGTTGGGGTGTCTGAGCCCCTGGCACAGCAGCTTCGCTCCTCGGTTCCCCAAGGCATTCCGGTACAGAACCAGCTCTACAAGATTCCGGTTGGCGCTGAGGGCAGCGGCGAGATGTTGACAGTAGGCCTCTGGGAGGAAGTTCCTTTCTGGCCTACAGGGAGAAGAGACAGGCCAAGGGGTAGAAGCTATCTGGGGAGAGCCAGTGTGCCACTGAGGCAGGTCATCAGGTGGGACTGAGAGGACCCGTGCGTGGGTGCGGGCTTCACTAGGACGCCCATTCAGAGGAGGCCTGGGTGCCTTTCTGGGGTCCCTTCCAGTTCTGAAAGTCTCTGTTGAAGGAGAGACTCCAGCATTTGGCTTAGCATGGGGTGCTGCAAATCTTAAGCACTTAACAAATGCCTGTCAACCAACTGAATCTGGATCAAAGAATATCTCAACATCCCTTCCAGCTCTCCGTGATTTATACAAAGGGCACACTGAACAATCGTAATTGTGCAATTACATTGTATGGAATTATTGTTTATTTTATGCTGCACAGGGGATGTGTGCACCAAGTGAGGGTTGGATGAGATGACCTCAGAGGTCCTTTCTACCAGCATGAGTCTCAGCTTCTTCAGAAAGACAACTCATTCTGGGGCACATTTGGCAATGTCACCAAGTGGCCAAAGGTGGTAAGTTCAAAGCTCTTCAGGACAGGACCATGGACAGCCTTGGACCCAAGGAGAACATGAGTGAAGCTCATAGAGAGAACTCTAAAACCAATCTCCCCAGGAGGACCTGGGCTGGGGTTTCAGGGATGGCCTCCCTGGGACAACTCTACATCATATTGTAAACTAGGGGGATGCTTACAAATCCCTGAATCCAACCTTCGCACAGTCAGTCAACTAGCATTGATTGATTAAGCACCTACTCTGTGCAAGGCATTGTACAAAGTGCTGGAGGCTAAGGTAGGAAACTGCGGCCCATGGAGAAGGGGCTTAACTGAAGTCACTCATCCATCAAAAATTCAATCCAATATATTTATGCTGTATATACTTACATACAAACTTCTTGTCTCTCTCATTAAGCTCCTTGGGAATGAAGATTGCTTTATTCCTTATATTTGTGTGACCAAGGCCCAGCTTAGTGCCTGGCACACAGTAGGTGCTTGTTAAATTCTTGTTGATTAGGACTGAACCAAAAGAATTCTATTCCAGACCCATTGCAAGGGCTGGATACAAATAGAGGAGTGAACCAGTCCTTTGAGGAGTTGACAGTTTTCATGGGAAATTCAGTGTGTCCTCAGAAAACAAACACAGACTTTGTGCAAAGTGATTTCAAACAGGAGACAGTACCGACATTGAGGAGATCAGAAAAGACCTAATGCAGAAGATAGTGAGCATTTTAGGCATGGGTGACTGCCTGGGCAAAGGTGTGGGGCGGGAGATGGAGCATCAGGTCTGGGGAATAACTAGCAGGCTCATTTTCCTGTGTGTGCAGAGCAAAACTATGAACTGCCAGCACTGGAAAGGCCTTCAGAGAACATGGGAACATGGGATGGTCCATTTTAGAGTCTGAATTGCCCTGAGAGAAGGAGACCAAACTCCTCATAGTGCAGCTAGAAGCAGGCAACATTTGCAATCAGGAAAGACTTGACTAAATTCTGCTCCTAGCCTTTGACTTTAAACAAACTGTGAGCCCCTCTGAGCCTGTTTCCTCACCAGTAAAATGGGTATAATAATGCCTACCTCCCAGGGCTTTCTCAAGGACCAAATGAGATAAAATGCATAAAGTACCTCCTAGACCTGAAATGTAAATGTAAGGTACTGTTCTTATTACAGATGGGGAGAGAGAGGCTCAGAGAGAAGGACTGACCAGGTCAAAGACACCTAGCTATCAGACATGGAAAGACCCTTAGAGATCAGGTAGCTAGGAGGTGTTACAGTGTACAGAGCACTGGGCCTGGAGACAAGAAGACCTGAGTTCAAATCTAGCCTCAGACACTACAGACACTCAGTCACTTACCTCTGTATGCCTTGGTTTCCCCATCTGTAAAATGGGGATAATAATTGCATCTACCTCGAATTATCAAATGAGATAATCATTGCTAATGGCTTAGCACAGTGCTGAGCACTTGGTAAGTGTTATATTAGTGGTAGCTGTCATTACCATTATCATTATTATTATTAGAGATCTTCTAGTCTAACTTCCTTATTTTCCAGAGCAGGAAACTGAGGCCCAGAGCGGCAAGGTGTAGAAGAATCTGAACTCGGGAAGAGAAACAATAACATTACTTATTTCTCAGGGCTGTTGTGGGGGTCAAATGACCTCTTGTTTCTATGTTGGTAGACATGTGGATAGACAGCTGATGTGTGTACAGATAATCACACATATACGCATGTATACATGCATCTGAGTATGTGTATATATACATATATGTGCATGTGTACATATATTCCACGTTCACTATAGAGACTATACTGTATTTGTTATACTACATATAGTATATTTACATAGTGTACGGCTATATATGTACATATTACATATAATTTTTTTTCCAATCCAAGCCTTCCTGATACAGATTAGGAAGGCCTAGGCTAAAATCCCAGTGCTATCACTTACTTGCTAGGTGACCTTGGCTCAGTGCCTCGCCCTCTCTGGACCAGGTGAGCCCACTGGATCTGAGGATCTCTAAGGCTTCACCCAGTTCTGGCCATCTATGAAGTCCTAGTCCAGGCCCTGCCCCTGACTCATTATTCCAACTTCAGTAAGTCTGTCTAGGCCTCAGTTTCTCTACCTGGACAATGATGATTTCTACCATCCCTTCTAGCTCTGATGTTCTGGGTGTTGGTAACCTAGCGTACTCTTCCATTTTGCAGATGAGTAAGGTGAGCACTCACAGCTTCGGAGGCTGGTTCTGGGGTTGCTCCAGGCCCTCCGACACCGACACCCGTCTGTCTTCACTCTCCGTGTCTTCTTCGCTGTCGGCACTGAACATCGTACTGCACAGGTGGACCACGAGAGCGCTCCGGCAGCAACTCACGCAGAAGGAGGAGACCACGTGCTCCATCTTGGTGGCCATGTCGCTGACCACGACCACCTGGAAGTGGTCCAGCGCTCTCTGGATGAAGTCCTCCTCCTGGATCTCGTAGAGGCACTCGAAGATCTCCAGGGCGCCCCGCTGCAGAGTGGAGCCTTCGCTCTGTGCCTTGGCCTGGATCCATCGCAGCAGGTCTTGCTTCGCCCTCTGACGGGTCTTCCAGCCAAGGTGCTTCTCCAGGGAGCTCCGCCTCTCTTCGTTGAGAAGCCCAAAGAGGAAGCGCACGGCGAGAGCCAGGGAGCTCCTCTCCGACTTGGCGTAGTGGTCGAGAAACTTCTGCACGTCGGGGGGAGAGGCCCCACGCTCTCCTTCCAGCACGTAGAACATCGCGGCGAAGAACTCCTGGAAACTCAAGTGGATGAAGCTGTAGTATCTCTCACACTGGATGTCTTTGTGGAAGACGTTCATGTTGAGGAAGGCCGAGACATCGTCGGCCTCCAAGCCGTGCCTGTGCAGGTCCTCCTCCTCGAAGAGGATCCGCTGGCCCCAGAGGCCCGCGGCAGCCAAGGAGCAGAGGCCCCTGAGGTTGGGCGGCGGCTGGGCCCGGGGCCTCCCCTGCTTGGGCTGCAGCAGGCTCAGCAGATAGAACGTGTAGACGGCCGTGGTGGTCTTCGAGGTCTGGGGGAAGGGCCAGCCCGCCTCCAGCTGCTGTTCGAGGCAGGTGCAGACGATCCAGCACATCATAGGCACGAAGCACATGGTGAAGAGCGGCTCGTTGTCGCGCACCAGGCTGAAGCCCTGCCGTGCCTGCTCCTCGTGGCGGAAAAACTTGTGGAAATATTCCTCGCGCTGCGCCTCGGAAAAGCCCAGGATCTCCACGTGCCGGGGGTGCTCCAGCAGGTGGTGGAGGGTCTCCAGGGTGCTGGGTCTGGTGGTGATCAGCAAGGACAGCTCCGGAATCAGCTTCCTCCGGAGCAGGCAGCTCAGAAGGGCCTCCACCGGCTTCCTCTCCGCCCGCTGGATGCAGCCGCAGTCTCTGTGATCGTGAAAGGAGGCCCGCAGCTCATCGAAGCCGTCAATAATGAACAGGAGTCTTTCGGGGACTCGAATAATCTCGGAAATGGGCACGTTCCTGTCCGGCCAGCAGACCGAAATCAGGTCCTCCAGGCTCCTCTCTCGGACCTGGTTCATCTCTCGGCAGTTCACGTAGAAGAGGTAATCAAAGCGGCCCGAGTACAGGCGCCCATCGGCCCAGTCCAGCATGACCTTCTGGGCTAGAATGGACTTCCCAATCCCGGCAGCCCCCTGCAGCACGACTGTGTGTGGTGCATCGGGTCGCTCCTCGTCGGGCTCAAACAAGGTCTCGATCTGGATGGGGCTGGCCCGCTGGTCCAGGCACAGGGCGTGCTGCCGCCCCGTGGCCAGGAGTTCATGCTGGGCTCTGGTTAGGGTGGCGTGTTCCTTCACCAGGAGCAGTCGCGTGTATCTCTGGCTAAGGTTCACAAGCTCTCCCAGGCGGGCGTTCCTGTCCTCAATAAACCGGTATTTGCGCCTGATGTGTTCTCGGTAAGTTTCCTGGGGATCTGGCAGAAAGGTATAAAGGGATCATGGGACATTTGTTCCACAAGGAGTTATTGCTAATTACAGGGCCTGGGACTTCGCTGAGATGGGAAACGCCCAAGTGAGAAAGCTCGCAGTGCCGCTGGGTCCTAGAGAGCTGCCTCCCACTGGGCAGTGACTCGCCCAGAATCACCTGGACGGTTTGTCAGAGGTGGGACTGGAAGGCAAGTTCTCCTGGCTCCAAGGCTGGCCTTCTATCCACTACAACCTCCTAGCCTTCTTTGTTGTGAATGACACAGAAGTATAGGATCAGAGCAGGAAGGAGGGAAGGTGCAGTGGGGGAAGAAAAGGGAAGAAGCCTTTATAGAGCACCTACTGTATGTCAGGCAGGGGGCTAAGCACTTTGCAAGTACAGTATTGGCTCATTTGATCCTCACAGCAACCCTGGAGGTAGGTACTAGAATTACTCCCATTTTACTGTTGAAGGGTCAGCTAGGTGGTGCAGTGAATAGAGTAAGGGTTTGGAGTTAGGAAGACCTGAGTTCAAATCTGACCTCAGACTACTAGCTGTGTGACTCTGGGCAAGTCACTTTACCCTGCTTGCCTCTGTTTCCTCTTCTGTGAAATGAGCTGGAGAAGGAGATGTTGAACCCCTCCAGTATCTCTGCCAAGAAAACCCCAAAATGGGGTCATGAAGAGTCAGATACGACTGAAAATGACTGAACAACAATCATTACAATCGAAGAAACTGAAGTAAATCAATGTTAAGTGACTTGCTCAGGGTCACACAGCTAGTGAGTGGCTGAAGCAGGATTTGAGCTCAGGACTCCAGGCCCAGTGTTCTATCCACTGTGCCACCTAACTGCTTAACTTCTGTAACCACCTTTTCCAACCCAAAACTCGAAGGATATTGAACCTGAGAAACGTCACCCAGCCTTTGCTTGAAGACCTCCGATAAGAAGGCACTCACCACCTTAGAAGCAGCCCATCTGGAACTGTAACTCTGGGAAAGTTCTTCCCGACAGCTAGCCTCAGTGGGTCTCTCCCCTCTCCCCATGGCTCCCCAGGCTGCCCTCTGAGGCTAGACCGAAAGAACCAGATCTCTCCTCCACATACTCAAAGGCAGTTCTACTGTTCCTCCTGAGTCTTCTCTTTTCCAAGGAAAACACCCCCAGTTTCTTCAACTGCTAGTTCACTGCTGGGTCAGACAAACCCCTGTCCCACGTCTTGGGTTAGTGGAGTGGGTTGGTTAAATCCAGTTGTCAGACTTGGCATGGCTCCCTACTAAATTCCACCTTCTTTGAGGCAGCACAGGGTTCGCTCTGGTAGGTCAAGATCTTCTTGGATCTCGGTGTTGTCTCGTGTGTGTGTGTGTGTGTGTGTGTGTGTGTGTGTGTGTGTGTGTGTG